CCTCCATCATATCTTTGTCCCCACTGATATTTACAGCATGGATCAAGTTTTCTACTATGATGGGGTAGCAGTTAGAGAAGACTGCTCTGACACAAGTTTAAGCCAATAGAAAGTCTTTATTAGGCTGCTGGTGACTATACTGGGTGTTCAAGATCCCAGGGTAACCATGAGCCTTTTTCAGTGTGAGATTTTAAGCACAAAAACTATACCTTGGGTTAACATCCTTCAGTTAGCCAGAACGGTTAGCCAGAAGTGAAACTGAAGAAGCCCAAAAGCAAGATTAGTGCATTTAGAGACTTTCCCAGACCATGGACATGGATTCAGTCTTTGTTTTCATTTGGCAGGGGCTGATGTCTTTTTGCTGAGTTTTATGGTCTGAATGGCACCTCCTTCATGGAGTCAATTGTGTTAAGGTCTGAAGGCCAAAGGCCTGGGGGTCTGTTACACTACTACTGAGCTATAACCCTAACTCTCATCTTTCTACCAAAAATAAAAATACAGAAAAAGCCCTCTAATCATTCTCCCAAATAACATTCAATACTATTAACAAAGTGTTTAAAAGTAAAAAGAAAGGGCTGAAGAGATAGCTCAGCAGCTAAGAGCACTGACTGCTCTTTCAGAGACCCTGGATTCCATTCCAAGCCCCCACCTGGGGACTCAAAAACATCTCTGACTCCAGTTCCAGTGTATCCAACACCTCTTCTGGTCTCCACAGGCTATGCATACACACATGCTAGAAGAACAAAAATAAACCTAATGAGGAATAAATTAAAAGATCACTGTGTACTAAACAAAAGCCTTTGAATCCAGTTCCAGTGTGAAGGAACAAAGATACTCTCCATGCCTGCCTATGGCTGTTCAAAGTGCTTCTTCTCCTCCTCCCTTTAAATTATGTCTTAACATTGGAAAGTTCTGGACTTACTCCATGCTTCTTTCCATTTATGCCCTGTCCCGAGGGGCTCCAGTAATTCGTGAGTCCGAGGTGGATCATGCCTGCAAATAATGGGCGGGAAAGAAAGAGCAGGACCAAGCAGATTTCTTGTCAAGGCTCCCTTTATTGATTATTACAAGGGGTTTTTATAGAGAAAGGAGAAAGCAGAGAAAAAGGAGTGGGGGGGGGCAATGAATGTTAATTGCTCTCAGGCAGGTATCTGGAATCCCCTGTGTTAAGGAAGTGGGGGAAGGAATAGATGTTAGTTGCTTCTCAGGCCTGGTCCCGGAACCTGAGGGATGGGATGCTAGACTGGCTGGCGGCTAGCTAGGCATGGGGGTTCGCCAAGGCTGGCTTCTGACACATTTAGTATTACATAAATGTCTCAGCATCAGGGGAGTATGTTTTATCTTTAAAAGACTTAATAGAGCTCCAAAGAAAATAAAAGAGGATGCCTGGTGTCCTTATCAATTCATTTCATTCCATTCTAAGACAATGTTCATTTAAGGCCTTGTTTCAGGTGAGTGACCTATGTTCTCAAATCATAACCGTCTCATCTGTCCTGACTGTCACAGTCTGTTCTTGTCATTCACCTTACAGCCATTATTTTTCACTCTCCCCTGAAAATCATCTCAGACCTGAAGGCACTGCCATTGTCACATAGAAACCAGGGGCTGCATTAAGAAGAGGATTCTGGGAAATGATGCCCAAGAGAAGGAAGTAGAGACAATGGAGTCTTGTCTATGAACAGAGATGTGCATTTGAGAAAGTTGCACACGGTGCCACAGGCCCCACTGAAGTATGGCCTCTGCTTACAAGGTCAACATTATTTTTATTGTGGCAGTTCCATGTTCCAGATTTTATACAATTCTGGTTGATATCCTGCCTTTATCTTTCATTTGTATCTTTGTTTCAATGATATTTTGGGTTAAATAACTCTATTTCACCTCTGCCCCTCATCGGTGTTTCTTTCTCAGGTTCAGTCTGTATCACCTGGTCCCAGAGCAATGTCCCAACCTCAGCTCCAAACTTCAGCCAATTTCCATTCTCTTATCCAACAGAATTTTTCTCTCATAATTGATAGTCTCTCCTTTCTTACAGAATGGGGGTAATCAACATGTGTCTTTTTTTTTTAAGTTGTTGCATTCTGGTATCTTTCTTACTTCCTTGGGATAAAAGTCATGTCTTTCTGTTATTATCGTCTGTACAAATATTTCACTCTCTTAATGTAAATATAATAGGACCATGGTCTTTCTTCAAAATGTATTATCTTTTATCATTTAAACATTAGTTTTCTTTTAAAATAAATCCATGGAAGCATTAAGCCATGTCATAGAAAAGGAGACATAACTAGTAAGTCAATAACTGTAGAATACAAATTACATCTCATGCAGTCTGAGACACACTGGAATGACATAAACAATATCAAACTTGGAGTCACGGGATCTTGATCCCTTAATCCTTAATTAATGCCAGCTTGAATAGTTGCTGTTGGAATTTAGGATCTGTTATTTAACTTCCCTAAGCATGTTTCATTTTCTGTAGACATCTCATTACCTCCACTTGCTCCATGTCTACTGTGAATCCCCTAGAAAATGCCTACAATTGTATTTTCCAGGATCCCCTCTTCAAAGTGGTTCATGTTTTCTATCTATAAACATTCATGATACAGTGTTAGGCAGAGTGAGATATAATTTGGTAGCAGAAAAGAACTCAGGGGGAAAATGTATTGTTTCATTTTAGTTCTGTGTCAGCATGATATTTTAAGACTAATCACAAGATCAGGTTATAAAATTTCATGTCTGGACCACAAGATTATGAGCAATCCTGGCTCAAGCTAATTGACATACATTCACTGTTGGAGAAGTGTTATACCAGTCAGACGGAAGATGAGTAGATCCTGTAGCTAAATGATCCGTAGATTCTTTTAAAGTTTACTTGAGAACCTATAGGCTAATCTTCTCTCTCAGACGTAATAATATACCACTGGCATATTATTCTAATAAACTTTATATTATTCTAGGGAACATTTCTTGCTGAAGCCTTTTTTGCATCTTGTTTAAATCTTTATAGCAAGAACACCAGAAACCAGGGAACTCTTTAATATGAAGACAACGGTTGGTAATTACCAAATGTAAAGCCAATATACAAAGGGAGAGTCAGTTTAAGGTATGGCTGTCTGATGTAGCTCTACTTAGTAGCCCTCAGTTGATGTATGAAAATGCAAAAACCAGTTGGTACTGTATGGTTTATAACTACTATTGGGCAGCAAGAACGGGGTCATTTATCGACCTCTTGAAGTTAGGATGGATTGTATAACTAGTTGTAGTTATGAGAATAAATCATAAGAAAATGTTCAGCAAGCAGGTCCTTATTTTCATCACAATCAATAACATTCTTGGAAGTCAAATCAAATCCCATGCAAAGATCTAGAAATGATCAAAAATTTGTCTACCAGTCAGAGGTGGGGGGAGGCAGGAAAATCAAGAGAATGGTTTGGACTTGCTGGCCACCAGGCCAGTTATGCATTCAGTGAGAGACATTGTTTCAGGAAAATAAAATGGAGAATGGCAAAGCAGGAATTATGGTATCATATATAATATAATATAATATAATATAATATAATATAATATAATATAGAATAATGGTATAAAAGTTACTAAGCAAAATGAAAACTGGAAAATTAGCAAAATGAAAACTGGCAAATTAGGGAACAGTGTGCCAGCTTCATCAGCTAGAAATATTATTTTAATGATATTTGCATCTTCTAAATCACGACTGGAAAGCAACACAGTGGAGACACATCTTACTGTGGTACTTATATATGCCACACTGGAATAGAAATCACATTATAAAATATAAATTGAATGGCAATTACTTACAAAAAAAGAAATGCATTGTGGAAGCATATTCTTGTTTCACATTTTAGATGAGGATGTATGACTATCTAGCTGTGGTGCTAATACATTCCACTGCTCATGTCAAACTTCTCACCTTCTCAAATTGCATGAGCACAGATGCTTTGGACTTTTACACTCATGTCATTCTGGGAAACAGTCTTACCATTCTTCAGTAATATTTTACAAGTGAACTAGGTATGGAAAGGATCTCTGGTCCAGGGTGGATTTGTGAGTAGGTGAACTGTTAGCAGTCTTCTTAATGACTTTAAGTCACAATGATATGTAGCCATTGTAAATACCCTTTGCAACATTTGTCCCTAACATGTGAGGCGCAGCATTAAGGGCAGAATGTAGGTCCTGCATTATTCAATCATTTCATTTATAACTAAAATCTGTAAGTACACAAAAACATCTGACAGGTCTGAATGTAAATAATTTATTAATACCCCAATTATATAATGACACTTTGTACTAGTTCTTCAATGTTTTATAAATCTAAGAACAGAAGATCAGTGAATAGAGATAAACCAATCAGGTCTCTATTCAAAATTTCAGTAACTTTTAATTTCTTAAAACCCTGGTTGAACACCTCTAGAATTTGGAAACTGACTTTTTGATGGAAAAAAAATGGCAAAATTTATATCTGTGTATTAAATTATCATAGGACTCTAAGATTCTTATCCTAGTCTGAAATGTATTGTGGTGATATATAGATACAAATATAGCTATTCTTCCTAATGTTGGCTTATATTTTAAGAGAAGTCACACTCATTTTTAGATTCCTCATATTTTTTTTTGTCCTTTAAAGAAAATCATACTGGAAAAAAAGCATGTAATCTACTTAGAATATACAACATATTTGGATTTTTTGTTGTTTGTTTGTTTTGGACACTTGAGTTTTACTCAGTCGGTTTAGAAGCAGGTGTTAGGCTTCTTGGTGTTGAAGTGTGGCTTGTGCTGGCTCTGCAACACACGGTGAGGAACCGGGAACTTGATCTTGAAGTCCTGGAACTGCTTGACAGCCAGCCATTGTCACTTGCCCTCTGAAATCCCTTGAACCTTCCTGATGTGGATGGAGTGAGCACGGGCACGGTGCCGGGCACCCGTGTTTCAGTCTGTGAAGGGAGGAGGAAGTCAGCCCCAGCCACCCACTCAGTGCCTGCCCCCAGGGCTGTGGAACCTCCTGATTTACTCTGGGGGTCACTGCACAGGCCCCCAAAGGCGACAAAGCCCCTTTTGCTGTGTGCACCAACAACATATTGTTTTTAATGAACGTAGCTTTCATGTTCATAGATAAACATTTAATCTATTTTCAACCTAGATTGGTTTTATCCTTGTTTACTTTACCTACAGTAAATATAGTCATCAGCTCAGCTACTAAAGGCAGACATTTTGGCATCCTTTCTTTCTAACTCAACACCAGATAGCTGACTCCACTTACTATCTTTGTGTACAATAAAGAACTAGTAATCTTTCTAAGTAATATGTAAAATAAGATTGTTTCTAAGATAAAAATAAAAAAGAATCGCATACATCTGCAAGAGTATTTGAAGCTCTTTAAAGTTTACTATTATGAACTTCTCAGTATCATCTCTACGGAGAAAGTCATGAGAGAGTACTGAAAAGCCCTCAGAAAATAAATGTCACACCAGCATCAGTAAAGCCTGAACTCTTGCCTGTTGTGTTTGATTACATCAATTTGCAGATTCTTAAAAACAAAACAAAACTTTCTTCTCCATTTTATTGAAGATGAGTAGCAGTTAAGGCAAAATTCTGCCACTTACTGTGTTTAGCCAACGTAAGTAACCTGGAGTTCAATGCCACTTTCACTGTGACTATTAACAGGATTCAAAATTAAAAATTTAGCTAATTGGAGTTGGGTCAATTTTATTGGCCCAATTAAAGGCAGGTCAAACTCCACAAAAAAAAAAAAGGCAGTATGAAAATTCTTTTATTTGAAAATGTCCAAGCTTTCCTTTATCCTTCCTCCTGACGCTTGCCTCAGGGCCATTTCGTATTTAAAAGATTTGGATTGATTTCCGTGCTCATTGGTGCTGCCATTTGCCATCTGTTGTTTCGAGTATTTATATATTTAGAAACACAGGAAGATGAGAAGCTTTGAATGGATGGAATACAGAGACTAAAATATTCATTATATGAACAGTTGTCAGTTGATAGTATTTGGAAAGCTAGAATAAGTTTTGAGCTATTAAGACCACTGGATAAAAGAAATAATAATGAAGCAAAAGAAAGAAACAGGGTTGTAAGAATTTCTTAAGAATATTGGCATATGCTGGAGTCTTTGAAAGTGGAAAAGTAGAAAACAACTTTACTTAATAATCTTCAGCAACCGTTCACTTGTTACAGTTTGTTACTGGCACGTAAAACGTATTAAAAAAGTTTGGGATCTTCTTTAGGCTTCTGATCCGTTTATTGCCATCCTGAAAGAAAAGGAAGTCTTTAATGGGATAACTTATTCATATATATGAAGGGAAGGCAATAAGATTAATGTGGTAAAATATGACTAAGTGGTAATTATGAATTATGCAAATTGTAAAGAAAAAGTTAAATAAACATCTCAGAATGGTATGTAAGTAAGTCTCTAGGGTCATAAAACTGCCAAGAGATCACACACACACACACACTCACGCACACGCACGCACGCACGCACACATTCATTTATGAGAGAGAGAAAGAGAAGCCAGTGAAAAATATTACTCATGTATTTATGTGCCTGGTATTCCTACTTCCCTCTCTTCACCTCACCACTTCACACTTTTCCCCTATTTGTCTACACTTCTTATGGCTGGCCTGTGGCTATGCACACCTCCTAAGGTGGAGCTTGGCCAATATCAAACATTGTTCCCACAATATTTAGTACATCAATGAAATCATGCTACAACTAAGCTGTGCCTCCAAGACTTCTCTTCCCACAGTGTTAAGAATTCCAAGAAAGAATTCAACTGCCCAGTATGTCAACATCTTGAAAAATCTGAGGGAGTCATAGCTTATGACGCACAGTTACAGCCATGATACCAACAAGTGCATGAGGGAACAAAGAGGGAGAAGCTCAGGGCACAGGAAATATTACCCAGAAGGAAGATGCATCCAGTCCATCCCGAACCTTCTAAAGGAATTCAACATATGATTTGTAGGTTTGTAAGGTGATATCTTCAGGAGAGGGAAGTCATAAATTAGTTATGAGAATCCATAGCCAATGAAGACCTGGGAGAACATAAAGTTTATGTGCCTATTACTCTGAATTCAAATAAAGATGCCAGGAAGAACAAAAAAAACCACTTTGATGACTTCTAACAATCAGAGACTTTAATACTGACAACACAAATCTTGAATTACTTTTAGTGTATTTATGAACTGGAAATTTCGTGTGTATATTTTCATACACATGTGTATTAGACATAAATAATAATACTAGTTTTGATTTTTAAAATGTTAAGTGATTTTGATAGTAGGATTAAGAATTTTATAGATTTAATGAGCCTGTCTTAATGTCACAATTTACATATATTCTGTAACTCAATTGACAAAGTATTATATAACTGTATATAAGTGGTAATGTGTATTATAGTTGACACAAATTTATGTGAGATTGGTATTTAAACACGTATTTCTGAAATTTAGAATATAGTGTCTATTATATACATATACATATACATGAAATTATACATAGTATATATAGCAATTCCTCACTAATAGAAACTGGCTCCAGAATACCATATGGATATCAGTGTGGAAAGATGTTCACATTAGTATATGAAATGGAATGGATTCCTCAGTCAGGTGATGGCTAGACAGATAAGAGCACTGTCTGCTCTTGCGGAGAACAAAGATTTGGCTCAAAGCATGAACATGGCAGCTCATAACTGTCTATAATTCCAGATTCAGCGAATCTGATGTGCTCTTCTGACCTCTGCAGAGACTGTATGCACTTGGTGCCTATACATACATGTAAGCACAACATTCATATACATAAGGTAAAAATGAAAAAACTTAAAAGTAAAACAAAAATAGACTAGACTTGGGGGCTGAAAGATGGCTCAGCTGTGAAGAACACTTTTTGGTCTTGCAGGGTACCTGGGTTCATTTCTCAGTACCCACTTGATGGTGCCCAATGTTCCATAATTCTTGCTCCAGGATAATTAACCTCTGTGAGCAGCAGGCACATATGTGGTTCACATACATACATGAGGGCAAAACACATGCAAATTTTTTAAAAAAATCTAAAGAAGTGTATTGATTTGCATATAACATATAAATAATCCAGTGGTCTACCTAAAATTAACTCTATTTACACATATTAATATAACAGTATACAATGCTGGCTTAGTTATGACATACTCATACATGTACATACTGTTTTTCAGTATGTTCACCCCAACCAAGTGTTCTCTTTTCCTCATCTCACTTCCACTAATCCCTTCTTCTCTCCAAGTAGCCCTACTTCTACAGTTATGTCATGTTTCCTCTTGTGACTCAATGAGTTTCATTAGAGATGTCTACAGGATCATGGTGGAAGTTCCTTCACAGCACTGTGAGGCACCTTAGCAATGACTGTACTACTGAAGAAACTGTCTCTCCATTCCGCATAAACCATTCATTTTTCATAAAAGGCTTTGTGGGGAAACTTGCTTTAGACAAAATACTGATGATAAATTGGATCCTGCTATTTTCTCTTCCTTTTCATCTTCCTTTGTCTTCTCCTCCCTTCCTCCTCTGCCTCTTCTTCTTTGATTCATTAGTTCTAAAATCCAAATAAAACATCAAAAACTCTCCTAACCAATGCCTAGTTTTTGTTTGCATTTAAGATTTTCTCTAACTGTCTTGATGGATATAAAGTAACTCTAAGAATTTTTTTACTTTTGGAGATAAGATGTTCGTGATACTATTGTTAATTCAGATTCCAAACTATTTACTGTGTAATTTAAGGTACTGCCCTCCCCATCTTGTTCTGCATTTCAGCTCTCACTGGACATGTTTCTGACTGTATGTACCATGGGCTATCAGTGCTGAGAACATTCCATGTCTCACCCCACTTCAGAGTCCCTGAAATCTACCACTTTTAATCTACTTCAATGGCTACATATCATAAAATGTCAAATTGTTTAGTATTTATAATAAAAAATTGTTGTGAAATTCTTGAAAACTTTTTCATTAGAAACACAGCTAGCACTCCCAGATTTAGTCTCTTTCTGTTTAGATGTGTCTTCAGCTACTTTATAATGCCTCCCTTTATGCTGTTTCCCAGGTTTCCACTTAAATCACACTATTAGCTCCTAATACAGAAAGAAAAATTTTCAAAAAACTCAGTGTGTTCCAACAAAACCATATATCCTATCTCCTTGAGTGATCTTCTTGGACCAGGTTCAGCTTTTCTTTCTATATTATCACATAAGAATTTAGATTTTAAGCTTTCAAATTTTCTTCTGAATTTAAATTTAACTAATTTTCTTCATTGCACATCATTTTAAGACACCTTTAAAATTTATTTCTATTTTTAATGTGTGTGTGTGTGTGTGTGTGTGTGTGTGTGTGCGTGTGTGTGTGTGTGATGGCAACAGAGGCCAGAAGTGGTCATCAGACAGCTCTGGAGCTGAGGTTTTGGGTGGTTCTGAGCTGCTGAGTGTGGGTGCTGACAATAGAACTCAGCTACAACACTCAGTCCCCTTAGCCACCAAGTCACTTCTGCACCCCTTCAGATTGGGTTATTTGAGATGCTTATTTTGAAGATTTTTCACTTCATCTGAAAGTGCATGGACTTTGTGAGTTTTCCATTTTGCTGTTGCTTCTATTGTCATTTTAATTTCAGTTTTTTCAGAATATAGTTTTTACTATTATTTAATTTTCAAGTGCATTTTTGCAGTATGGGAGACTGAATTACAGCTCTAGCCTCCAGCCTATTTCTTTTTTGGACATGTATTTTTATTTTTCCATTTCTCTTCTGCAAACCTGTTAGTAATACATTCCATTATTATTTTTGCTTTGGTTGTTAAAGGTCTTTTTAAAAATAGCAATAAACCTTTAATCCCAGAACTTGAGAGGCAAAAGCAGATGGATGTCTATGAGTTTAAGTACAATCTGTTCTACACAGCAGAACCAGGCCATCTAGAGCTACGTAGGGAGCATCTGTAAATAAATAAATAAATAAATAAATAAATAAATAAACCAAAACTTTAACAGTCTTTAATATATAGTTGAATGATATTAATTATATTCACATTATCAATATATGCAAAATTAAAACATCTGCTATCTTT